GACCCACTGCGTTTGCACCGTAACGTAGTGTTGCTGACAGAGGACCGCATTCTGATCATAAAGGCGGTATGTGCTAATTTGCCTAGTCGAACGATACCAAGTTTTATTGAGTGGGCAGGACTTTTTTAAAATTACATGAGTACAAAATTTTTGTTTTACGTATTTGCTACTGTTTCAATCTTCTGACTTATCTTAACCTTTTTAAGTTTGAGAATCATCTACCTTATGCCCGCTGGGTTACTCATTCAGGTCTATTCTAATATTTTTTGTGACTTTCTCAAAAACTAATTCACTATTATTATTTGTTTTTTTTATTCTCATTATCAATATCTATATCGTTTACATTCTGTTGTCTTCATTTTACCAGTTTAGAGAGCGTTATAATCATTTGCTTAGTTTGAGCAGAGATAACGTTTTTACCAGTTAACCACTTTTTTTGAGTGTGTTATACTCCTGCTTGTCTGTTATGTCTCGTGTTACGATTTCAGGTTTTGATTGTATAATAGTTAGTTGAGCAAAGGAACTTAATTTTTTTCCAGCTCTCATTGTTCCCTGTTATATTGGTATTTTCATGTTACCTAGAATTTTTGATGTTCCTCCTGGTCTGTCTTGTCTTATTATTTTTTATTTTTATTTTATTGTTTTTTATGTGGTGTGCTACTTTTTTCACAGAGCGGTTTGCGTTGGATTATTGAATTTGATTTGAATACGGTTAGCTTTACATGATGTAAGTAATCTTTTACTTATAAATCCACTCGCGAGCCGTATTTGTTTTTGTTGTTTTTTTTACTGTATCTCACTTAAAATAGTTCAATTGAGTAGCTTATTGTAAGAATTGTAGAACAGTATGAGTTATAGTAGTCATATTCAGGAGTTACTGCAAGTATCCAGTTAATTAGGCTAAGCTAGCCTAAAACTTTCAGGGGCTAACATATTACCTCTAACGCAGTTAGTATTTGTTATTGGTCTACGTGGAAGGTTGTTTTTCTTTGCTGCTACTTGCTTTTTTTGTGGCCTAGGTCGATGTATACAGCGTGTCATTTATTAATGGTATGATTATAACCCCTAGTTGAATCATCACTGGTTTTTGACGTAGAAGATAAATTTAATAACATTTGTTAGATTTCGAAGAATTTAAAAGTTGGAATTAGGTTCTTTGTTTCATTTCAGTTGTTTGAGGTTTTGTTTCATAGCCCTTTAAGAACTGGCAATGATAAATTTGTCAGTACAACAAGAAAGTGTTGTTGTTACAGTGTAAGGAATTTTTGAATTGTGTTGCACTCAAGAATTCGGTTATAGACAGAAAATTTTCGTCATATTTTTTAATTATGGGTTACAAGTGACTTTTATGGCTATATACTTGTTTGATTAAATAAAATTTAGCAGAATCATGGTAATCCTTAGATTACTGTAGCTTCCGCTGAATAAAACCAGGCTTGTTTTGAAGTTGTTCACAGTGTTACAACTTCACCGAGGGGTATGACATCACAGGTCGATGTTGGAGTTGCCGACACCATCACCCAAGTTTCAAGGCAGTGGCGAACAATGACTTTCGTTTCTTGTTGTGGTAGAAACTTTTTCCATAAGCTGTAATTTAGTTGTGAAAGCTTTTATGCTATGGTGTTTATCAGCTTCGTTTTGGGTTCTAGCAAGGCGCAAAATTAATCGGAAAGAAACTAGAGAAGGGGTGAGTAGAAGGTAAGAAAAGAACAGAGGAAGAACCACAAGTATGCTTGTGCACCACTGAGTGACGGGCAGAATGGGAGTAAACGAAAAAAATTCCAAAGTTACTTGACACAGAGTTAAAAGTAATTGAGCAGAGAAGACAGCCCGGTGTTCAAGTAAGGGGCTGATATGCACTTAAGATGCAGAAACTTTTAACAGCACATACCGTGAATGAGTGAGCTAAATAAAAACTACTGATAAAAACGGTATTGCAGTTTACTGGGTCGTAATAATGACTGTCGAGAAAAAGCAAAAAGCAATGAAAAATATAAAATGTCAAGAAAAAACATTTTTGACAAAAATTCTCATAGTTCCTCAAATTTACGACATCTCCACAATAACTTTTTGAACCGCCAGCCACTTTTTCTCGCTTCTGTAACCTTAAAATCGCTCGTGGTTATCGTTACCCTTAACTGTCTCTGTTTATTTTGCTCACTAATCTATAATACAATTTTTGCTCTGAAAACTTTCTTATATAGACACGTAATTAAGTGAATCCGTTCATACATACGCTACTTTCTCTCTGTTTTTGAAGAAAAATCATAAGCAACGAATTATCTCCAATCCGTCATCAAAATAAACATTTTTTTTTCGCTAAAAAATTTTTTTTACCCAACAGTAATTAACGACTTTTTATCTTTTTGCAACTCATAATTAAAAAACTAAACGTTTACACATATACTCAAGAATTCCCAGAACAAACGTTGATGTTGTGAAGTTTTGAAAACTGCTTCTTTCTACAGGGGGAACGCCTTCTACGAATATTCGGGGAATGGGGAACGAAGAGTTTTTTTGCTGGAAAGTATACTAATCAATTCTAAAAACTCTAATTTTTTTAGAAAGGAATTTGAATTTTTTACGAAAAAAATTTTTTTCAATAAGTGCTTTTGAGCAGGTTTAAGACCACTGCACTAAATTTTGGTCTTGGGAGATAAACTAAAAAAGAATATTCAAGAAAAAAAGCATGTAACGTTGATAGCAATGGGGTAAGGTTTATACATCTCCAACACTGTTAACACGTTATTTTAACTGTATCTCTTTACCAACTGCTCTTCGAGGTGGAATAAAAGGAAAAGTCGATAATGATTTAGTTTACATTATTTTAAGTTGCAGTGATATTTACTTTTGCAGAAAGGAAGTTATTCTTTTGCAGTCTTCTATGATAATATTTACGCAAACAAATGATTAGTTTTTAGGTGTCGTAATTTTTAAATTTATTAGTTGTTTTTGAAAATCTGTGGCTGTTATCTATTAAAAAACACTCATTCCTACTATATAGATTGATAATATTTGTCAATTGCTTTATTTGCACCATCTGCTGCAGAAGATTTTGAAGTTGAAAAAAATTTAATGTGACTGTGAAATGATTTTAGGAAACAGCCATCGATGTCGTTTCACATTGTGGGACATGGAAGTAGTGAACTTTTTGGCGACTGCGTGTAAAAAGCAATGAACGGCACCAGATTTTTGTATTGCTTCTGTTTTTTTTTTTTTTTCTGTAAAATGTGTATTTTTATATAACATTATAATGTAATTAAGTATAAAAAAGCCCACTTTTGTCGTGTTATTCCTTTATTTTTTATTATAGGTTGTTTACCCTTTTACACGCGTTTAATGCAAAAGTTTTGCATACAGTTCTGGAGTCCACTGGCTTAACGTAGAGGTACCTCTTTAAAACGCAGTGGCATTACGCCAAATTTACTGGAGCCCTTCCCAAAACAAGGCCATTTTCACGCCTCTAATCAGATGTGTAATCAAAAATGAACTCAAGTATAGATAATAAGTTTTATCAAGCTATCGCTCTGCAATGCTACTGAGGTTTAGAGATCTCAAGAACTAATTTCTAGCCCACTTTCCACTCGCTTACAGTGCCATCGCTGATCGCGTAGGGAATTATAGCGATTTGTTTGTAATCTGTGTTAATTACTTTTGTTGTATGCATTATTTCAAAAATTGTGAAATTTCTTAAATTTCAAGATTGCATTTGCAAGGGTAGATTCCTCGTCGTATTCTATTGTGCCAAAAAGCTTAAGAAGGTGGCATTAAAAAAAGTAAGTCCTCAACTCGGCAAGAACTGCCTTCATGTTTTGCTGGACAGATGAAAGTACCGAGGGGTATGGACGGGTGTTAAGCGACGCGTCCACCGATTGAGTCATAGTTTTGTATCAGAAGTAGTTGGGCAGGGGAAATTAGTGGTATAGTGTGTTGGAGCAAGGAAAAACTAAAAAAAAATTTGAAGCTTTGATAGCGCCTGAGGTTGTTAAGGCACAAATTGTTATGTATGACAAATATGGCAATTGTTGAACTTTGCAAACGCCATAAAGTTTTATAACCAAATCCTCTGCAGTTGTCTAGAGTTTTTCTTGACCAAACCAGACATTATTTTTGTCTCGCAATTGACCAATCATTCTTCTACAAAAAATTAATTAGCTGTTACTGTGCATTCAGAAAGAAATGATGTAGTTTTAAAATCTCCGACGTTGCGGAGGGTAAAAGCTTCAAAACTTCAACTGCGTGGCACACTTTTACATTTGTCGGTCCTCTGGCGTTATCGTCCTCACATACCCATTTATGAGTCAAACATTACACTTACGTGTTTTTTTATTACAAGAAGATTCCAAGTTTATACAGTGAACATGATTTACAAATCTTTATATTTCAGTACACTTGGAGCTGGCGTAGGGTACCGTACAGGAACTGAAATGCAACAAAGCATTTTACCGAACCGTTTGGAGCGCAGTATTGGTACTCAATATGGATAAGCTTTCAATTAAAATAAATGGAAAAAAAATTCTCTGCAATTTTTATTCAAGTAAAATTTTTCTGCATTGGTAACAAATTGCACTTTAGAAACGTCAGAAACTAATGAAGGGAACTGCTCGTGGCTTTTCGGTGGCGCACATTTTGAAAAACCTTTTCTTTTTCACAAATGTTACAGACTAGCTTTTCAAACGTTTCACAAACTTTTCCTAATGGAGGGATTGTGAGCCACATAAGGTTAAACAAGAGTATAAAGTGTTTTATCATCTTTGTGTGAAGAAAACATGGACTGGAAAGCAATACTAACTGGTTCCAGTGTTTTGTGCCACTGAATAAATCATAGCTTCACGAACTCTCAACTTTTCCTCCGTAGATTGGCTGCATCTGACAGTTATAAACAAAAGGGATGTGTCAGTAAATTTAACAGCCGATTATTTTAGAAGTTTAATAGGGCTCAGCACTACTCATTCATTTATGCATTGCTTCTGATTCAGACTACGCCGCTGACAAAATCAACTTTGGAAGAAAGAAAAGGTTTTGTGATATTTGCATAGGTTTTCACTCAAAAATAGAGCGAATTTTTAACAGTTCCATAACATACCAACCAACAACCAGTTAACATTACCACTTTTCTCAGAAAACCTGACTCTATTGTGAATACGGGCGACAAGACAGCGTACCGACTCATATGTGGCTGTTAAAGTTGCTCTTCACACCCACACACACAATACCCACAGATACAGAGCTTTTTTGGGCACTGCAGCTCTATATTGCTTTTGTGCTATGGTATCCTATGCCTACAGTACTCTTAACTTAAAGCCCCAGCAAGAGTAGTCCTTTTTCGAGTCTACAGTGCCTTATGGGTCCTACAGTCCTGTACTATAAACTTGCTGAAATTGCAGATTTTGTCTGCAGTGTTTTTCGACTGAAGTATCCACAAAAGCGCAGTCATCTTTTATCCCTCACAACTCTAAACCACTCTCTTTCACCACAGATTTCTTCACCGGAATCGTGGGTTTTAAATGTACTATAGGGAACAATAGCAGTAGTGATACCTATAAGCGATAAATTTCTTCCCGAAAAAGTAAGAAATCAGAAAATGCATTAACTTATCTGATGAAGAGCTCCCAAGCGTTGTACGCTTGTTCAAATGAGAAATTAGCTGCTCGAAACTTAGAACCAATGTGTCCAGATCTTCTAAACTACATTGAAAATTTCAAAACACATTAATTTATTTGAAAGAAGGGCACTAAGATCGCACTGTATGAATATATTATTCTGTAAATTCAGCATCCGCAAAAGTATAAAAAACCAAACATTATTCTGTAAATTCAACATCCGCAAAAGTATGAAGAACAAAATATTATTCAGTAAATTCAGCATCCGCAAAAGTCCCTTTTTTGATCCTTGTACCCCTACATTAAACTTGTCCGCACAACTTCTTACACCCGATATATTGCCTTTTCATTAGAGGACAGCCCTCCAGCTGAGTCACACCTTTAAGCAACAGGTGGTGGTGACGCGCTGAACTATGCTAGTCTGCTGCACTCAAGTTTGAAGCGATACTTGTACGACTCAAATGTCAGATGGAATCTTTCAGACGACGTTTAGCACACATCACATGAGTCTGGTCTGTTGTGAAAAAGCCTTCATAATTATCAATAAAAAAAAACTTGCTTCGAAATGTAATGCCGATTGTTGAATTTCTTGTGTGATGCACAACTAAATGTGAACAAATCCATCGATTTCTTCCACGATTTAGTGGAATCACATAATATCGAGCATAAAAATCTCTGAAACGCACCTCATGCCTCATAAGCAAAAGACTCTGCTGGACGAGAAAGAAACTTCAACTGCTGTCACTTTTACGGTAAAAATAGAAGCTTTGAAAAATGAGATTTGCTACGTAGTACTTCCCGTCTCTTCTCCTCCAACCCCGTTTCTAGCCCTCTCTGATGAGTATCCTAGGAAATCCCTGCAGGAAATGTCAACTCTACTTCGAAGTAAGAAGTGATTGCAAACATAAGCCTACACACAAAATATAATTAAACAGTTGCATATTTGTGAAAGCATAATTTAACAACTTAAAATTTTCGCAGTCCAAAGAAAATTCTGCAAAGCAGAGGATGCATTTCATGCTCTTTTGGCTCCAAGAGACACAAATATAAACTATGAAAATATCTAGTATATTGCCCGCATCATCTAACTTCAGTCTGTACTGGCAGCCGGAGCAGTGGACAGATCATTTCATGCTTAGTGATCTCAAAATTGCTTACAGGTTAAACATTGGGATCTGACTGAATCCGGGATCACCAAAGCAGGTAACATAATTTTTTACTGTAGCTATTAATCTCTAAGATCAGAAATTTAAAGGACTCTGTTAGCCTAACCCCTACTGGGAAAACACACTAAATTTAAGGAATCATGATTAGCAACAAGTATTTAAAAATCTTAATACTCAATTTTCTAGCTTCATCACATTAAAACTATAAAATTTTGGATAGCCCTACAAAAACTGGTGAAAACCGTCGTCCTTATACTTCCGTACTCTTTTTAACGTGCTCTTCATATCTTTTTTGCTGCTCCAAATACGTCTCCATATTTTGTAACTGTTGCCGACTTCTGATGTATTCCTTCACGTTGGCACGGCGAGCTTCCTTTTTTTGATCCTCACTCCAAAAAACATACCCTGAAACATATCTCAATCAGGTTTTAAGTTAATTACAACCTCCCAGTAGTATACACAAATCCAATCGATTAGAGGCAACCGGTCTAAAATCCAGGTCACTGTGTTCTCACAGCAAAAAAATGTGATCAATAAATTTTTTAAAAGTGATTTAAGGCTGTCTTTAAAAACAGATAGATGAGGAAGACATACAAATTGTAGCTGCCGTTGCCACACAAGTAAGCATTAAAGTGTGAAAGCCGTAGCCACGTCGCGACATAAAACGTCAGTGAAAAATTGAAGGCACCGTTACTGCTGCGCATCCAATGATCAGATTTCCAGCTATCTTTAGCTTACAAGCCTTTCAGAATACTAGTGTACAAAACAATAGTTACAAAGACAGTCGCCATAAAAGCGAAAAAATAAGTTAATAAAATAGAATCCTGCGGCGATACAGGATTTTCAGCTCCCTTACTCTTGCTCGAGGAAGCTCTGCAGAAATGTTTCGTAAATTAATACTGCGAGCATGTAATTCATATGCACAATAATCCAATAAAATTTCAGCATCAAAAAGTTGCACAAAACTAGTTTACATTTCTCAAATTTAAGATGCAAAGTAAAATTAAAAAAATAGGATAAAGTTTGAGAAGAAAAACAAAGAAAGTTATAAAGAAAAAAAAGAATAACATACCAATAATGTGTGCAGTCTCAAAGAATTTTCAACAAAGTGTTTTTATAAAAATATAATTAACAAAAACATAAAATTTAGAAAAATAAGAAAAAAACCTTCACAAGAAAAGATGATTAGGTAGAGACAATATCGACGAAACCATCAACGCCGAATGAGGAACCCACCTAAATTTATCTCCTAAGCTCATATCAAGTGAATGATACAGCAGAAAATTCCGCGAGACTTCTTGCCAAAATGATATGAATTACCAAAACACGTAAACGATTAACTGCAATTAGAAAAAAAAAATCTTTTTGCACATAAATTCAACATCAAAGCTAAAAGTGGAGACGTGTAGTAGCATAATGAAAGAGTAAAACCTGGGGAGGGATTCACTAAAAAGTTATTTACCCACATATATTTGTTTTCAAGTGAGCCCTTGTTTCCGAAGGTTTTTCAGCCCATAAACCTTTCTAAAAAAAAATTCCGTCATTTTTTCCTTTTTCACACCTCACCACTTTCTTCGGTTCATGAATATAGTCATCAGTGGCCCCAAGTTTCATCACTTCGTTAACTTCACTGCAACTTTCCAGACCAACCTTAAACCTCATGCTGTGCAACCATCCTTCAGGTTTTTTCAAGGTCTCGTTTTACCATTCTTAACTCGACTTTGATGCCGTTCTATAACGGTCATACATATCACATAAATGCAATCAGCGGCAAAAGAAACATTACAGCTAAGAAAGAGAATGTAATAAAGTGAAACCTTGCTTTTAACAAAACGTATAATAATTCTATGAACCAAAAACGAGGGCGAATAAAACTGGTAAATACTCCTCTTCAAACGTTACTCAAAACCAGTTCGTCCATCTCGCAAAATTTTAACCGCCCCTACGATACTCAATGACTTCCCTTCAGCATTCTAACCACCAGCTATAGGCGCGCCACAGTCGCTATAAAACCAGTCTCCTACTCTACTCAATTCTTCTTTGACTAACGAAATTAAATAACGCCAATCCCACGTGGTCTATAAATAATTGCTCAAAAAATGGTCAAAAGAGGATCAGTATGAAAAAACGACAGAACACTAGCACCACATCTTACCGCTAACCATTCAAACACCCACTAGCCCTAAACTAATCTGAAAACCGCTGAAAGGCTAAGAATTATGCCTTACACCGTTAGGAACAAGCAGTGTCAAGCAATTTCGTAAGCCTGTAGTGTTAATCAATGAGAACCGTGTACTACAAAAAAATGATACCAAAATGCTAGCATACTGCTTAACGAAAATAAACGACACAGTAATTTTCAAAGCCATCTTTAATTTCTTAAGGCCGTTATCGCTTAACGGCGAAACAAAGTCCAGATCACAAATGAAAATCAAACGAAGAATGACATAAATGAACAATCAGGGTAAAAAATTGAATAAAACCCCATGCAATCTCTTTCCAACAGTTTCAAAGATCCACTATTTGAAATCAACTGCCAGTATAATAGTGCAACAATAAAGAATCTGTTCGAAAATGAAAAAAGTTATAAGTTCAAAAATAACTCACTCCCAAACTTTACAACATTCCCGCAGTTATCGAGTCATTCAATTAAAAAAGGAGCTGCGACCGGGAGAAGCCCTCATGCTCGCAAAAAATTTTCTGAATAATATTTAAAAAGGACCGACCATGTAAATTTAAAAATAATGTCGGCAAGTTCCTAATCAAAAACGAAAGATCTTACAGCTGAAATCGGTGGAACTCAAGTTCCGACAAATTTATAATTTAAAAAAAAAAAAACAAACAGCTCGAAATATGAAGCCGAAGTGGTATTCAGAGCAAAAAGCTGTTGAAGTTATGAGCGAGAAACCACTAAGAAAAGATTAGAGAACAAATAAAATTACCAGAACGCCACAACTTTAAATTTCCGCGACCAAAGTATCTGTACAACTGTTCTCTGAACCGCACTTTAACTAGCAACAACAGTGTAACGAAACTGCAAAATATAGAAGTAAATTTTCATCTGTCAGCATTCACAATCACATAAGGTATATTACTGTGAAATGTTAAACTGTTTACAAGAACCTTGTTCCAAAGTTATCACGACTCAAGTTGTCCTTTTACTTTTTCATTTCTAGCGAGGACATCTACATCTTAAGGAACAATTCCAAACTTTACTGATCTTGGAACAACTACCTCTAAGTTGGAAGCTGTAAAACGGAACTTCATGAATTACTCCCCATTCCATTACAACCAAAACAACGTTAACATAATGAGCACTTGTTAACTTCCACTAGTTATAATTATTTAAAAACATCAATTGAAGGTATTTGGTTTGGCTACTTAAGAAGCAAATCCAAAGAATGATAACAAGCGCAAAAATATGTTTTACTCGAATAATTTTTGCTGAAAACCATCCGCCTTGGAGCTACATTTAAAGCCAATTGTTCAAGAGTCAGCACATACTATTTTCATCTTACACAATATTATACATATCTTTTAGAAGGCAATCAATATGCTATTATCTTACGCCCATGTTGGAAGCATATCTGAGCAAAAAACGTAAAAGTACCGAAGACTGAGATACAAATGAACGAAAGCTACAGAAGACCCAAATTCTACTGAAACCAGCAATGACGGCAGTCGTGCCAACATAACCAAAATGTTTCGACATCAAATACAACTGTGCCGTTTGAAATGACCCATAATCTGACTTAAAATTTCCAAAAGCCAGCAAAAGCTCTCTTTATGCACTTTCAGGAAATCAAACAGCCTAACATAAACTTCTCCCTAGATAAAAGCATGCGCTAACAAAACCTGGCAAGCACACTTCACGTTACTTGCGCTTCAGCACGGTTCTCACGACGACTTGTGAACACAATGGTAGCAAAGAAACCGGTCAAGAACGACAAAATAATCATGGATAGGCGATCTGTGTACTGCGGATACAAGTAAACGAACGTCCAGAGAAGCACAAATTTGACTAAAAATTCGGCTGAGTACTAACTAGAAATTGCCAAAAAAATAAAGAATTAAAAACGAATATAATTTGGCCAGTAACCCTAGTTTCTGATCGAAAAAAAACTTAAATAAACGTTAAACAAACACCATTCTCAAAAAAATAATTGTTTCAGTTGCAGGAACATGTCAACATCCAAACACGACTAAGCTACTCAAACGACAAAAATTCTGTCAAAAAACTTGATAAACTAGCAACAATACTTGTGTTTTACAAAAGACCTAAAAAGTCTGCGCTTGGTCACATGAAAAATCCAGCCAATCAAGATACTGGCTGGCATAACCTGAGAAATGGGGAAGTAGTGCAAGGAGAGAACCGAGAAATATACCAGCAAAGAAAATGTGCAAGTGTTGCCCAAAAACCATTCCGATTGAAGCTGCTTCCGGTCTTTCTCCCAGACCTCTTGAAGCAGCAGCTGCAGCCGCAGCAACTTCATCCCTTCTACCTTCAGTGTTACTTGGAAAAGGTCCCATCACAAAATTATAAGAGAAGCGAAAATAACGTATCATTGCATTCCGTATTCTAAGAAAGCTGAAAAATAAAATATTTTAAGAAAAATTTTTTTGGGAAAAGAAAACTCAATACAAAAGGAAAACTTACTACGGATCTGACGGATTATCCTCGATGCTCCGCCCATGATATGTCTGCGGACTTTGACTTGGAGGAGCAACACTGGCTAAATTAATTTTTATAAAAGGCCGGCCACATCGAAAGTTCCACAAACAATAAAATGTAGCTCGTTTGATCTACACCAGCTCAAGAAGGACTCCCAAACCAAATCTTACCGCAACTTAAGCATCTTACTAATTACACCTTAATAAAACTAACTAGTGGAAGATAATTTACAAATAATAGAAGAATCAAATGAGTAATCTAACAATAACATACTAGTAGTAGTTGATGAAGGTTGTGCGTAAGGAACCGAGCTGACATTACAATGTAAAACACATTCATTGTGAATACCGTAACTAGAAAGTGAGCGCGAATCATCCCGAAGAAGCTGCCCTTGGTATATCAACCTCACCACTTTGCCAGCCAATAAAGGATCGTAGAAGTACCTCCTGAAACAAAACAACAAAGGAAAACGTGGTAATAGTGTGAAAAAAAGATAAATAATCGGTGAATAGCAACACGTTCCCTACTATTGAATGCTGCCAAACCTTTTGAATTCGCCAACAGTAGTTTCTAAAGAAGTGGTAGCCACAATCTGCGTGTCATCTAAGAACTTAAGCTTTATTCTAGTCGAGCTCCCTTCCATTTCTTCTTCGCCATTGGTTTCGTTTGTAGTAGCTATAACAGAGGTATTCCTCTTGAAATCGAAAGAGGCGGTAAGCTGTTATTACCAGTTCAAAGTTTTGTCACGTATTAACTTATAAAAACGACATTAAGCAATGTCCGTTCTTCAGATCTTATCAGCTTCAAATCATTAAAGCTTAGCAGTATAAAATTACGACACTGCTCTGCCGTTTCAACAAATGTGATCATCATATGAACAGAACATGTATAAGAGTACACATATATAAAATTGGTGACAAAATAAACTAAGATAAAATAGAAACGCCTTTGAGGAATAAGTAGTAAACAAATAAAAAATGGAAACATTTGTTTCATGAGCAAAAAAAAAAAAAGGTTAAAAAAATAAAACTAAAATTAATGATGACCCTCTTGTACCTGTATCTGTACTACTGAAAGATCCAGAATCCGAAGGAGATGTATCCAGCTAAAGAGCAATGATTAAGTGTAAAAAGCTCGAAATTAAAAATTACAAAAAAAAATTGAAAAAGGAACTTTCAAAGAACAGGTGTGACAACACCTACGTTAACAGCAAATAAATTTTAAAAAACTCAAATAATTTGATCCTCCTTTTCATTCAACACATAAAGACCTGTATTTCCTAACCTGCGTATTTTCTGTTCCTTCATTTTCAGCCAAAGCTTGACCATCACTTTCAGGTGGAGTACCCTCGTTAGAATCATCTGCCACTTCCGGCCCACCAACTTCGATCTGGAACTTTTCTATTAAAAAATATCAAAATAATAAAGATATATAGCTACATGCTAAAATAAAGAGTTTACTTCATTAGTTTCCGCTCGATTAGGTAACGATGCTGAAGGCACAAAATCTCCGTTCCTAAATGCAAAATATGTGAGTCATTCGACTACAAAGTAACAACAAATTATAATTTAAAACTTGTGAGAAATCACGTAAATTATGAGCACCCTAAATTCTACGAGGAATGATACAGAATAAAAGTCACCAATAAGATCAATTTTATTTTGAAGGTTTAAATAAATGAAGCAATCGAACAAACTTAGTGTGTTAGGTTTAAAATAAAACAAAAAAAAAAAAAAAAAAAAAAAAAAAA